CACTCAGTGTTGGGGAGCCTCCTCGACTGTGTGGCCTCTTAGGTGACCCTGGGAGTGGGAGGTGGGAGGATCAAGTTTGTGGTCAGCCTGGGCTGTGTAGTGAGTTTCCTGCCAGCCTAAGCTACACACAGGGTAAAATCCTTCCTTAAAGAACCAAAGACTTAGAGCTGTGGCTCAGTCATTAAGGGTGCACACTGCTCTTCAGGGGACTGGAGATGCCAGCACCCACATCAGGTGATTCACGGTCACGTGTAACTCCAGGGGATCCAGTGTCTCTAGCCTTCATAGGCACTTGCACTTACATACATACATACATACATACATACATACATACATACATACATACACACACACACACACACACACACACTTTTAAAAATTATTAAAAACACAAAGAAAACCAGTTAGCAAATATTAATAAGCTAAAGAAAAGTTTCCAGCAGGCAAGGGACGTGGCGCAGTTGGCACAGTACTTGCCATACAAACATGCAGACCTGGGTTCAAATCCTCAGCACCCACATAAAAGCCAGGTGCGGTGGTGCTCCTAGTGCTGAGGAAGTGGTGACAGGACCCCTGGATCTCACTGGCCAGGTTCCATAGGATTCTTGGTGTCAAAGCTAAGGGAGAGAGTGAGTGAGGAAGACGGCAGCATTGACCTCGGGCCTCCAATGTGTGTGTGTGCCCATGAATGTGTGCATAGGCACACACCACACCACACCTTTTTTTCTTGTCAGTGTTCTTTAATCAAAGTCTGACCCTGAAGACACAGCACTCCCACAAGAACCATTGGCAGCCTGACCTAAGAGCCGCTCTTTCCTCGGGGGTTTCCAGGGACACGTGGCTTGCCCACCTCCCTGGGTACTCGCCATGGGGCCTGGGCACAGCAGGAGGAGCCGCCTTGTGAAATGGTATTTCTAGTTATGGAGGGACTGGACAGCTGTCCCTCTGTCTGTGGGCAGGTGTGTTTGGCTGGCCAGGCCAACTTTCAGAAAATGTCTCCTCCCACCATGGTTCCAGGGATCAGACCATCAGGCTTGCGTGACAAGCACTTTTTAATTCACTGAGCCACCACAACCATTCTGGTCTCGGATGAAGGCACAGGAAACATACATATCAAATCTGTGCATGTCAGAGAACCCAGGCTGCTTGTGCCCAGCAAACAGACCCAGAGGGGAGTGTAGGCTCATGCAAGCCCGCTTGGGTTCATGTAGAGAGCACCAGGTCACACAAAGAGACACCATGCCGTGTTGGCCATCTCCCTGGGTAGTGAGGCCTTCCCATACTCTTACGGTACTTGGCTGGGCTGTGAAGTGCCCAGTGAGCATAACAGTACGCACATGTTCTTTTCTAGTACCCAGAGCAGGAGACTGTGAATCTCTTCATCCCAACCCAGGCTGTGGGTGCTATCATCGGGAAAAAGGGGGTGCACATCAAACAGCTGGCTCGATTTGCTGGTGCCTCTATCAAGGTAAGATCATTGCTGCCAGCTGCCTGTCCCCTTGGTCTCCTCTGGTCAGTGCCAGACAGTTTTTACACCATCCAGAGACAGAATCTGCAGAATGTATTTCCAGGACCCTTCCTGTCTGCTCCCATTC